GTGCTACCTTTACAAACTACATAACAAGGTTCTAAATCACTATCTGCATTGTGATTTTAAAGTGTAATGTATAACATACTAACCTGTCACACATTTCATACTGTGATCTTTTTAGCATAACAATTTGAAGTGCAGTGTTGACAGATAATAAGTTCTTGGTTTAAACAGGAGTTAATTGTTCTAGCCAGTGTACATTTCAGCCAAATTGCACATTGTACTACAGATAGTATTTGATACAATCTCCCTATTCAGAATCTTAAAGGGTTTGGGTTTCTTCCCAGAATGTTACTTTTGAATGTAATTTAAATCTTTGCTCTGACTTTTCCTTGTCATCTTGATAGTTGTAGAATGTAGTTGATGACTGTGTCAGTACTTTTAGGTTTTAGTTGAGAGGACACAGCCTGCTAGCCTCAAAATTTTTCCAAAAATTGTCAGTGAATGTTAATGTGATAGATATGGAAAACTGTTAAGCCCTGGGGAATAATCATATTGATTTTATCTAATTTAATTAAAATGAAGACATACATTTTCGTTTCTCCTTTCTCTGTTCAGTTTTTGGAGTACAACTTTCCACATACAACTCAAGGCTTTAAAACAGCTCTTGATCTGAAAAAAGTTGCACATGCCTATTTTGGTTAACATGTCTCACTCCTGTTTTCTGTATGTTCAGAAATGTAAATGCAGTCTTGAGCTACCATGCAAGCCACTGAAGAAATTCAGTGTATGTTGCTTTCAAAATGGAATTTAGCACCAGCAATATAACATTGCATAAGTAATTTAAGGAAATAGTCTTAAAAATCTTCTAAACCGTGATTATAGTAAATCACAGTACTACTAATTAAATGTGCATATTAATTATGTATGATGGCTTTTAATTCTTCAGGAGGAATTCTTTTTCAGTTTCTAACTAGAATGATTTGTCAGCAGTAATCTTTCCAAGACTATGGCATCCCTCAACCTGCAATGTTATTCTCAGTTGAAGACCAATTTCTGAAAATAGTACTCTCTGCATATGTGTGTATTTCCCTGCTTAATATGCTGCATTTGTTTGTTGATTTGTTTGTTGGTTTGTTTGTTTATTGAATTTATAGGGCCACCCAACTCAAATAGTGTCTCTCTGCATGACAATGTTATTTTTGCTAGCATTTACAGATATAATATTTATACAAAATACAATATGTATAAAGATATACTTTCACTTTTTCAAACGGGAATACTTCTTCTGACTCAATATACTGTAGATAAAGCAACTTTCAAATGTTGCATAAAAGGGGCAATAGTATAGGATATGCAAAACAAAACAGCTCATCTTTAGAATATTTGGTTTTTTTCTCAGAATATTTTGTTTCCTTTTTCTTGAAAATGGAACTGTTTCCTCTTCTGAAAGATATATTTCCAGAAATATGTGAACCTTGAAGTGGCCTGTTTAGGGGAACCTTTTGAGAAACAAATGTTTTAGTTCTACATGTAACTACAGTATTTTATATATTATGCACAGTGTTCATGGAATAATATATAATGACCATTTGATTTTTTCAAAATTGAAATAGGCATGTACTTAATTGATAGAATATGATACATTCATGTTGGTGAATTGTCATATTTAGTTATCTGTTTCCATTTCAGGTCTTCAGTATTTTGTGCAAGAAAATGATTTAAAGTACAGCCTGAGTAGCTCAGTAGCCAGAATTGAAGTTTGATCTCAATATTGGCTACTACATAAATGTTTCTGGGATGGCCAAAATTAGGGAATGAAGGCAACAATCCTTCCCATTGGCCATTGTTTCTCCAAGCATATATTAGATTGGCAGTGAGAAATATATGAATTTACAAATTATCAATATTGTATGGTGGAGACAGTTGTATAGTAGTTTTTTTAAAGGAATATAGCATACTCTTAGCTTAAAATTTGAATTATCTGGAAATGTGTTTTTGAGTGTTAGCTTTCATTTACTGTATGTATTAACTAATTTCAGAAAAAATATACAGAAATAAAATTGTTTTCCAATAGGGTATTACCTGCATTTTTTGAAGGAAGTATATGAATAGGTGGCATTTTAGCTGTTAATTGTCCAATTCCATATTATAGCCTGCTTTGCCATTTTCCATTTCTATTCGCTGAATAGGTTCATGATTACTATAGTTAGATATATTGGTGATACGTGGTAGTTGATAGAAACAGTTGCGAAATGGACTTCCGGGGAAGTAATGGTGAACTGAAGGCAGCTCTGCTGAGAGCAGTGCTGACGACCACGGCAGAATGAAAAGTCAGCAAAAGGACAAGCTCTTCAGGCTTTCTCTCCAGACAAGGAAAGGACTCGCCCACAAGTGCTCCAGACAGTGGCTCCTCACGAGGAGACCACAAGATAGCGGTCTCTGGCAGGTTTAGAGTTCTGGGAGATGAGGGATTGCCATTTCTGCCCGAACTGCGGTTGGCACCTTTAAGGACACAGGGTTCGCATACTTCCTTTTTTAATCACTTTTGGAAATTGCTTGTTAACTGCTTTTCAGATATTAGGAATCTTCAGAACAGCAAGATTTACTACACCGGGTGAGTTTCCTTCAATCCTTAGCGAAAGAAGTTTTAAATACAAATTTAAGGACTTAAAAAAAATTTTTTTTTGGATTAAATAGCAAAAGGGTGGTTAGAATGTTGGTTTTGGAAAGTTACAAGCAGACTAAGGGTCCAGATGGATTTGAAATAAGATTTTGAAACTAATTATAAGAATTCTGCCCATGGGGAAATGCTGTTGTTTTGAATACTTAAAAAAATATATAAGATGGGATTTTGAAGGTTGCACAATAGAGGGAACGAGAAGGAACTAAAGATTACAATTAAAGGAGAAGAACCCTTAAATTTGACTTACAGAATGGAGTAAAATACTTTAACATTGGCCATATTAAAGGATATTTGTGAACAAGGGATTCAGAAATTAATTTTAAGAGTGTTTGCCATTATAGATAGACTATGTTTAAGATGATATGGGGGAGGAGCAAATTTTACCAGATAGGACTGAGATTGATTTGAAAGTGGATTTAAAAATGATGGGCTACAGGAATGATGTGGAAGGAGATGCTACACTGGATATACAAATGAAACCGGCTGATGTCTTAACAAACCAAAAGAGTGACCTGGATAACTTTCTTATATTGGATTTACAAAAGAGACCTGTTAAAGTTTTGAAGAATTTTGTGAGAAGGGATGAAGAAAAAATGAGAAGAAATCAAGTTCTAGGACATTATGAGAGGGGATTAAGGATCAGGATTGTTAAAAGTAAAAGGAAGGAATGTTTATTTGATCAAGGTTAAAATAGATACATTGTTATTGTGATGGAATCTATCTGTGAAGGGGAGGGTGATTGCAGCAGAGAGCAAGACTGTCAGGTGGGAAGGGGTGCATTCTAGGAAGGAAAAGGAGACAAAAGACAACACAGTCCGGAGGTGGAGTGTGAGAGCCATAAGAGTTCAGGATAGCCGCTCCCTAGAATCTCCCAGGGTATATCGACTAGTTGCAGTAGTATAGGTTTAGTCTGGCATGATTCTATCTATATGGTGCAAGCTAATAAAGCAACTGAACTCGACTGGACTGGACTGGACTGCAGCATTGTCCTTGGGCTGGGCCTGAGAGTTATCTCTGGTAACTCTTAATGGACTTTTGCTGACAAGGACTGAACGAGAAGGTCTTAAAGATTTGTTTATAGATAAGAGATCAGATATGGGAAGAAGAGATCATTTGTTGAATTTTAAGAGAAGGTGATAAGTTATTGAAATTGTTTATTCTTGTTATAAAGGGGGAAGTAATTTCTTTATATTTTTTCTTTTTTATTCTTTTTTCTTTTTTTTCTTTATCATTTTCCCCTTTTTTGCATTTTCTATTTATTTTAGTTTTTATTAGTTCTTATGCTTTTAAGTGTAAAGTTCAATAAAATTGCTATTAAAAAAAAAAGAAACAGTTGCAAAGTCATGATTTTTTAATTTTGTGTATTTATGGTCCTAGGCCAATAAAAATGCAGGTAGAAAATTTAAAATACAGCCCCCTCCAAACCTGAAACAATAATGTCAGCCACCTTCTGCAAGCCATAGCTATTGGTAGAAACTTGACAACAATCAGTTTTATGATTGTCAGATGCTGTGGGTGGTACAGTGGGTGGTGTAACAATATATATGTTACTGACTTGACTTCTCTGTCTGAGCATACATGTAGTTTTTCCTATGGGAGACTAGTATTTTTGCCTCTAGTTTTCATAATAGGTGGTACACCAATTCAAGCCAAAGTTAAAAAAAAAATCTATGTGGAAGATATTATAGAAATAACTAGGAATTATCCATGGAGAACCTGCAATCACATCATAATAAGAGTGGGTGATTTTAGCTCTTCATTAATATTGATATGTTTAGTGCCTTAGGGTTTCAATATTAAACTACCGTATCACAATTCTTAGGTTTTTGGATTAGTGAAATTATAATTTCATGTATTTTATTCCCTTACACATGAAAGAGCAAAATAATTTTGCCTGGAGTAAAATTTCTATCTAAAAAGTGGATGAATCAGCTGATTAATCAATTGTTAATAATAATGACATACTGAATCTAGTTCTTCAAAACAATTGAATGTGATTTTTTTCTTTTAAAGGAATTGGTATAAGTAATCCTAGTTTCTGAATCAGAGATTAATTGATTCATTTGGCAACTAGCTGTAAGTGCCATTAGAGGCTTATGAGTTATTTACGGTCATGTTTCAAATTATATAATTCAAACTGATTTTCTTAGGATCTGTTTCCAGAAAGTGGAAATTTGGGAAAGGGAGGTAATTCAGTTTTTGTTTGGGCTTAAGCAGTCATTATATAAACATAGGTATGACTTCAGGTTTCTTCCTGTTGTTGAATTGTTGCCACCTAGAGTCTCCATTGTATGTCCAGTTGTTTACTAGATTTGAACATTAAGTCTGTATACTTGTATACTCTTGATTTGGATTTTCCTTCCCAAATTTCTTCTCTCTGCTATGATTTTAATCCCTGCCTTTTAAAACAAATATTCATTCTATATTGTATGCCAACATGAAGTCTTTTTTTTTTCCCCAGGTGGGCACTCTGGTTCTTTAAAAATGACAAAAGTAAAACTTGGCAAGCAAATCTTCGCCTGATCTCAAAGTTTGATACTGTTGAAGATTTTTGGGCGTAAGTGAAATTATAAATATACTTGAAACTTGATTAGTTTTTTTTCCCCCCTCTCTTGTTTGTTTTTGAGGATTATATATGAGGAAATAGAGGGGAATAAGTTGAATAAAAAGGAATATTCAAAGAAAATGTGAAATAAATTTGAATATGTCTTGATTTTTATAATAAACATTTAGATTTAAGTTTGAGAAAGTAGAAGGCATAAAATATTTTTGCCTGCTACAATTGTAGTAAAAAGTGGCTGAAAGAAATAAAGGCATTGGGGAAACTGCAAACAATAGGCTCTGTCAAGTATTGCGTATACCTGTGAGCTGTATTCTCAAGTTTTGTGATGATGACAGTGTTGTATTAGTTTTTGAAGTAATGATTTTATGTCTTTAATTACTATTTTTTTCTTTAAATAACGTGCTATTGAGAATTCATATTGAAAACTTAACCCTGACATTTAAGATAATATATTTATGTGTTTTTAGATATTTGAGTATCTGCAGTCTTCAATGTTTGTGGTAGATCACTTCATTGATTGTACTTCTTTTCCCCCCAAATAGGTTGTATAACCATATCCAGCTCTCTAGTAATTTAATGCCTGGTTGCGATTACTCACTCTTTAAGGTATGCAGAATAAACTTTTGAGTGTATTTCATCTTGTTAGGCGATTTTGGAGGGTAATCTGCTAACTAAAAGACTTTAAAGGATATATCAATGAGCCTTCATACAGAGTTTATTATTGACTTTAGTTTCTGTATCTACAGCATGGGATTTTTTGTTAGGACACAAAATCCTAATTTTGTTAATATTATTCTGTTATTCTCAAGAAGAGGCTAAACATATGAGCAACATTTGTTTAAATGTTGCTGATCTTGTCTTTCCTATTTTACCACTCACTGCTTCTACTTTCATAGTACTGTAAATAAAATGCTTAATCTAGTTAGTCCTCGATTTCCATTTCTCTGTCAGAAGGAAAATATTTTTGTGTATTGACATATACTGATTTTTAAAAAACAGCAATGTTTCATGCATGACTAAAATCTTAGTAACATAAAGGTAAACAAATTCCAAATATTTAAATATAAATTGTGTTAATTACAAATCTGGATATTGTGTTTTATATTGAAACTGCACTTTTTAGGATGGTATTGAACCCATGTGGGAAGATGAGAAGAATAAACGGGGAGGGCGATGGCTAATTACACTAAACAAGCAGCAGAGACGAAGTGATCTTGATCGCTTCTGGCTAGAGACAGTAAGTGATTTTTGTCTATGTATGGTGCTCATATTTCAGTCAAATTTAAGAGAAGAGTTCTTTTTTCCCAATTTCTAAAGGGAAAAGTCAGAGTGTACCAAATCCATACAGATAATTAATTGATCATAGTTAGACCATTACCATATCAGGGTGTTCTTGGCACTGCATGTTCTTATTGTTAAAGAACTGTTAAAACAATTGGTCTTAGAGACTCGTGAATCCTACTAGATTCTGGAATTTGATTCAAAAGTTGTGTTAAAAATAATTTTTATGATCTTGGATGGCCGCCATGTCATACTGATCATCCCAAATATATAGTAGAGCTGGCAGCAAATTGCAGTTATACTGAATCTAAGGAGAATGCTGAAGCCAGTTTTAGAGACCTAGTAGCTGAAAGTTTCATATCCCTGATGTATGGTGTATTTGTAAGCCTATAAAGTGTATTGTAGGCCTGTGAAGTGTCAGTGACCAGTAAGGAAAGCATGGAGAGCATGAGTTCTTGAATTCTTTCTAATTGCTTAATAATAGTGTTGCTTGGGTCCCTTCACAAGAAGTGAAGTTTAGAGTGGAGGAGTTGGCAACATCCTGAGCCACTCCCCAACTACCTCTCTCAACGGGGATGCATTGGGGAAACTTTTCTCCAAGCCTTTGACCTGATCCATCCTTTTTTTGAACTCAATTTTTCTTGTGTTTGCTTTTCTCCTGTACCAAATTTGGTCCCATTCGATTCAGTTCTCACAGAGTCATTATGCTGATGAACAGACAGGCAGATCTCTTTACATAATTTCTTTCAAATATTCTGTTGGGTTGGAAAATATAGCAAGGTAGGGAGAGCATGCAGAGCATAGTGTTTGAAATTCCTTCAAATATCTTTACTAGCGGTGGCCATAGGAGGTGTCTGCATTATATGTAATAATATGAATAGTCTGTTTCTACTCTCCTCTGTGTCTGTGTATGTTGTGTGTACTGGGAAACACAATAGACTAACTCTGCTCTGGGTTATGTGATGAGGGTGGAGGCTGAGTATGAATCAGTGAGCAACATTCTAAGCAGCTGCCCAACTGCCATTCCAGATGGGATGAGGAATTTTTTCTTGATCCGTTATTCTTCTCCACAGCTCTCAGTCTGATCTGGCCAATTTTTGAATTTGATCTTTGTTTCAGTGGCTTCTTTCCTACCCCCCCTACCCCCCAAATGCCAAATTTGGTCCTGTTCTAATCTGTTTTCAGAGAGTCATCCTGAAGCATGCAGGACATCTAGAATTATTTCTAATCCTTTTATCAATAGTAGCCATCGGAAACACTTGTATTTTCTTCTGTGTAACAGAATTATGTGTTCTGTTTGTGTGCATGTGCATGCTGGGATTCACAAGACCACTATTTCTGAGTTGCTGCCCAATTGCCTCTCCCATAAGGAAACATTGGGTGTTTTGCCGGGGAGGGAAGTGTTATTTCTGCTGCCCCAGCCAGATCTGGCCCATTTTCAAACTCACTTTCTTTTTCTATCTTTCCCAACAAATTTGGTCCCATTTTGTTCAGTTTTCAGGGAGTTATTCTGCTATTGGCTAGACAGAGAGAGTCCCAACCCCCCCCACATATTTTTTTCCAAGATTCCTTTACATTGGAAAGAGTAAAAAACATTATTTGTTACTATCACATCAAATTGGTAACAGCTTTGCCTGAATGGCATTGGAATGTCCATATCTGAGATAAATTCTACAGTGGGTGATTTGCAGCCCAGTGGTACAATCACTCAAATTAGTCTGACTTGTTTATAACACTTTGGACCAGGGATATCAATCACCTGTTTCTTGCAATTGATCAGATTACTTTAACATAGTTTTTATTGAGTATGTTGACAGCATGCTTAGATTTGTAAAGGCCACTGCATCTTTAGGTCTGAGGAAGTTCTGGCAGGTGAATAGAACTTGGAAAATAAATGTATATTTCAGGAAGGAAATGTTTTTCCTTTATTAAATGAGGTGATTATTCGTTTGCTTTTGGTGAAATTATATTTATATCGGGTGAATTAATCAATGTTAGGTCACCTATGAATAGTTTTTTACAATACAACATGGCAAAGCAAGTATGGCTGCCTGTCCCAAAAAATTAAACACTGTTGGTATAAATCTTTCTGGATGACAGCTTTCACTCCACTTGAGCTTTACTTTCCCATCTGGCTATGAGATTGAGTTGGCATGTGTGGTTTTGATGATTGGAAATAAGCAGGCTTTTATTTAGTTCTCGACTTTGCCTTTATGTGTGAAACAGGATTATACCATTTTGATCAATTGTCTATAATGCTTCTTGTACTAGACTCCTTAGTGTTTCACCTTTTTTTTTTTTTTTGCCTGAGGGTACTCATTAGTAAAGCTGATGTAATGCTTTCCATATAACAGGAGCACTCATGTGGAATTATGACATTGGGTGTCATTACTATACTGATATTATCCAGTTCTCCATGTCAGTAACTAAACATTCCATAGTTGTCTGTTTTCCAGATCAGTATCTAGGACAGTGTTTCTCAATCTCAGCCACTTTAAGCTGTGTGGACGTCAACTCCCAGAATTGCTAGGAGGGAATTCTGGGAGTTGAAGTCCACACAGCTTAAAGTGGCTGGAGTTGAGAAACCCTGATCTAGGAGCTGTGATGGAGTAAGTGAATTAAAAGTGGGTGAAATTCAAAGCAAAAGATGATAATACTGGTCCTCTGGCACAAGTCTTTAAATCAGTGGTAGTGATAATCTCTTGGTGTGGTTAGATTAAGGACCAGGGCTACTTGTGAATTATGCTTTGCTCTATTATAGATCTTAGTGTTTATCAGTAATTCAGTTTACTTAATTTTTTTTTTTTATAAAGATTACTTTTCTTGATAGAAGAAAAGGGATTTTGATGGCCATGCCTCTCATGCTGTTCTTGAAAATGTCTTGTATGGGTTAACTAACAGAGAAGCTCTTGAGTATAGAAAGGCTTCTATGTCAAAACTGTTGGGAGATAGGATATCCTACTATAATAGGATCTTTTGTGTAGCAGCTTTGGACTGTTTTTTTTTTTTCCTTAGTAATCTATTGCCAAATGGCAATTTCGTCTGGTGGTACATTGAAATTAGTAGAAATTTACATTGTTATATAGTGTGGATATTTTGGTAAGTATTTTGTTATTTAGACTGTTTGCTTGTCCATTATTATCTTCAATTTTGTAGCTGCTGTGCCTTATTGGAGAATCTTTTGATGACTACAGCGATGATGTATGTGGAGCTGTTGTTAATGTTAGAACCAAGGGGGATAAAATAGCAATATGGACTACTGAATGTGAAAACAGAGATGCTGTTACACATATAGGGTAAGTTAATGTTGTGAAACTTCAGAATAGCTACTTTAGAAAGCAATAATGTTTCAGAAGCTTTTGCTTTTATTTTTTATTAACTATTTTAATGTTTAATTCAGGTACTAAGTTGTGTTCAAATGAAACAGATCAACTTTATAATTTATAAAGCTCATTTATTTCAACACATCAGGATTTTGGGTATAATCCTAGTCTGGGTTTAATGAAAAATGCTTCCAATGTCTTTGTTGCAGTGCAGAAAGAGAAAAGCTTTTTTTTTGTTTTCATTTTTGTTACTGTGGCTGTTTATATTTTTCAACCCATCTACAGTTTGTAGCAGAATCTTGTATATAATTTATTTCAGAACTCTCAAGGTGATATGTGAAGTAACAAATGTTCTTAATAATGTTACATAGCAAATAATTATTTGGAGAGCCAGTTTGGCGTAGTAGCTAAAGTGCTGGGCTAGAAATCAGGGGACTGTGAATTCTGGTCTTCTCTTAGCAATAAAAGCCAGCTTTGGACCAGTCACCTCTCTTAGCCCAACCCACCTCATAGAATTGTTGTGGGGAAAATAGATGGGAACATTAAATATGTACATTGCATTGAGTTGATAAAAAAAATAAAGGCAGTATAAAAATCAAATAATAGTATTACATTTTATGGCAGAGTTTTTTCCAAGTATCTTATATATTGATATCCCATAAGACCCATCTATGTAAGATTATTAAGTCATAGCCATAATGAACAAACCTAGTTGCAATATTATTAGTAGCTTTATCTTTCATGTACCAGTATAAATGCAGTATAAAATAATTAAATGTAATATCAAAAATTAATGCATTTACTCACTTCAACCTAATTTAAGATCACAGCTAAGATATGGAGTCTTGGTGTCCTGAACAGTCCTTATCTCATTTTAAAAAATTGTTAACAATTGTTAAAACACATCTAGAATTCTGCATTAAAAAATACTTTAGTTTCACAAAGGTCCATTAAAAATAAACATTTTAGCACCTTTTAAAATAGTTGATTCCAGAGGACTGGCACTAGATGAGAAAAAACTTTCATCCATGGCATGGCTATTTTATTATAAGGAGGTACCAGCTGGCCCTGCCTAAACAGTTGAATTGAACACAGGCATATAAGTTTCAAGCTGATTTTCCAAGTAACAAAATGTTCCCATGCATAACTCAGTAAGATAATATCAGCAGCTTAAATTGACATTTTTTGCAATTAGCCAAAGTAGAGGTTGCCAATAGAGAAAGGTAGAGGTAGTTCAGATTTCCAGATCAGTGCCGTTCTGAATTCAAATCGGGGGCAGAGAGAGCTATAAGGTAATTTGCCCAGTAGACAGCTTTAGTAATTCAGACTTGAGACAATTGGCATGAACCAGCTGCTTTGCTATCTCTCTGGTTGGGAGCTGACAGACTCTTATGAACATTAAGTTAAGGTTACAAGTTTAGGTAGTTTTGTCACTGAGGATTTTTTTTAAAGTCCCCCATCAGTTTGGACTCTGGGTTGCTTACCACTGAGGAGGCTCCCAGCTGGTAGCCCTAAAAATGAAAAGCAATGGGATAATCAGGATGGAACATAGGAAGACAGTAATCTTTCGATTTTTCTGTCAACCTAATACATAGTCCCAAAGTGCCAAAATTCAGATATAGAAAACCTGCTGGTTCCCATATGTTTCATGAATTCACAAAAGAGGGAATTTTATCAATCTAGTTTGACAATTCTTGTAAATATTAAAGCAAAGGCTTCTTTCTTTCTTTTGCATGTTAAAACATCCTAAGTCAAATAAACTGACTATTCAAAACAGTGCTAAAGCCATGTTTATGTGAAGATGTAAGCCATCTTGCAGAGAAACAAAGTTTAAGGGATGTGTAGCACATGATCACCTGCATATGTACTGGAGTTTTACCAAATAACAAGTCCTAAAATTCATTATATGCTATTATGGCTGTTATTTGCTTGTGATAAGTGATAAGATCAAATATTGTGTGAATAGTGGAATGACTTTTGTTCAAAAGGAATGTAAAAACATTGAAATATTGCACCTGGAGTTTACACAATGAAAATTAAGGTCATGTTTTCTTATGAACAATGCAACTTAAATTTATATTTTGTGTTTTTAATTTTCCAGGAGAGTATACAAGGAAAGGTTAGGACTTCCTCAAAAGATAGTGATTGGTTATCAGTCCCATGCTGACACAGCTACTAAAAGTGGCTCTACCACTAAAAATAGGTTTGTTGTTTAAGAAGACACCTTCAAAGTATTTCATAGGAGACTGCGTCAAGCAATCGAGATTTGGGAGCTGAACCAAAGCCTCTATAAAAGCAGAGTGGACTGCATTTAAATCTGATTTCCATCTAAATGTTCTAAATTTGTGAAACTCTCATTTGCTTTGTCTTGTACTTCTGTTTTCTCCCCCCCCACCCCATTTTTTGGCTAAAGGTAACCTTTTCCAATCAAAGAATTTCAGTGCAACGTTTGTCCCTCAAATCCATATACATCTCCCTAACCCATTCTCTGATGCTTCTTAAGAAAGTAACTATTATATTAAAAAAATCCTGAAAACAGTGCCATTTCTACAGGGGAATAAACTACTACTTTTTTCATCTTTGCATTGTATGCAATAACATGTTTTGCTGGTTTGAAAGAAGAGTATGACGCATACATTTTTCTAGCAAATCTTTCTTTATACGGCATGGTCATTGCTGTAATTGATGCTGATGGCTGCTAGATTTAATTTATTTGTTTCCCTTTCTGATAACATTAGTGATATTCTGATTTCAGTTCTTGCTCATGTAACATTGGTGAAGGATCTGGGAATATGACAAAAGGTTTAATAAACATTAATTTTGTGCATTCTATGGTAATTATTTTGTAATATCAAAGCTTTGCTACAAATTTCATGCATTTCAAGTCAAATCAGTGATGTTTGTGTGATTTCCTGAACATAATTGTGGATTTTTAAAAAAATGTTAACACCAGAATTACATTCCTTACTAGAAATAGTATTCCTGTTTTTTGTATCTTATGCTGTATTTTAACACTTTGTATTCCTTAGGTTAAATTTTGCTTTGGTTTAAGTACGGCTCAAATAGAAAAGCAGTCCCATTCATATTAAGACAGTGTACAAAACTGTAAATAAAATGTGTACAGTGAATTGTCTTTTAGACAAGTAGATTTGTCCTTTTATTTCATTATACTGAAGTGCTTTGTACTACTTTTGACAAGATAGTCTCTGTTGTGGCTTCTGTTGTAGTGTATATTCCAGAAAAGGTTAAGTCTTAAACTATAGCTGAATTCAAATTCTTGATTTTAATTAGATAGTATTATATTCATATGCAATTACATTGCTGTGATGATAATTAGAATTAATATGTTCCATATATTGCTTTGCTGCCTGGCTAGCATATCTAGAAACCAAATGGATATCTGAAAGTGAGCCTGCAGCAACAAATGAACCCCCCCCCCAAAAAAAGCCCTTTGGGTCTTGCTACATTTGGGGGGTAAAAAAATTAGCCAATTGCACAATTATCTCAAGAAATACAGTGAAATGTTTTTCTGGCACTTAATGCAGTTGTTGAAAGAGTGGCAGGTTGAAACTATTATTTAAGAGAGAGCTCTAAAATTTATTTGTCAATTTCAAAGTAATAAAGTGTGATGGTTGGATGTCATATTTCCTATACTGAGTGGGAGATCTGAGGAAGCCTGGAAGAACTTTAGCTGGCTTATAGCTAAACGTTTTGGCCTGAATGTTACCCATTAAGGTAGCTTTGCTGTCTCCCTGACTTCAGCTATATTATCTTGGATATTTGCCCCCTTTGCTGTAAATGTCTTAATGATAGAAGATTTTTGCCTAGATATCCTGATTTTTGCCTTTCGGTTCTTGCAGTTTATCTAGCATTAACCCAAATAGCATTTTGTGTAAAAACTGATGCTGTATTCTTGCAGTTAATACTTCCCCTTATAATAAACAAAACAGCTCTTGTATTAAAGCAAATGTGGTTTGTAGTAATGTCTAATTCTGTTTGAGAAAAGGAAATGAGAGCTACAGGACAGTATCCATGGTGTGAGTTGCATTGGTTCATGGTAATCTGAGGGCTGCATGTAACAGCTTTCCAACTGCCTGACAGAGTAAGAAGTCATTGGTGCATAGTCTCCTCTTAAGGATTTAATTAGATAAGTTTCAGAAGAAAGGTTTTAAATATTTGCATTAAAAAAAACATAATAGTGAATATATAGGGGGTGATGAATGAGGTTTGGAAAAGGCTGAATCCTCCCGTCATCTCTTACCCCTCAGCAAACCTTTCCTGATTTAAATTGGTCACCCGAAGGATGAAGCTAATATTTTGTCCCTTGAGCACTGAAAATAGCAAGTGTAGGTAAAGGTTTTGAGAGGCAAAAAGTGGGGTAAGTTAAAAGCAACCCTTCCAGCATTATCTTTTAAAGTTCCATCTAACTTAGGTTGCTGAGCTGGTATTTGGTGGCTGTAATTATGGGATGCTGAGAGCTGACCTCTAGATTTCTCATTATTTATAGCAAGTTACTGCAATATAGCACCGTAGGGTGGCTGGGTGCAGTCTTCAAGTTGTGAGAGCTTGTGGAATTAGTTGCAACAGGTCTTTAACTGCCTGATCAGATGGCATAGAATCTTAATGGCTTTCAGTAAATTGTGTGATCAGTTGATCTAGTACTAGTTTGTAAAAATTAACATATTAACAATTTATATTTTTTCTTCTAAACATCAGCTGAGATTGGAAAGCCCCCAAAAATTAAACATGGATTTTAATGGCTGAAGATTTGTGATTCTTGTATTCTGCCCCCACATCATCTCCCATTTTATTATCATGTCCAGTCAATGCCTCCTTCATCCCTACTTTTATACAAATATTCTGAATAACTATGTCTACCAGCTTTTGCTGAATTGTAATGCTGTATTTTAGCGTTTTCTGTTATTAAAATATTTGTAGTATGGTGTAGGCCCTTCCATATCTTACGCTGGCTTTTAGAGTTATGCCTGGAGTCATGGACCAAATACTACATACGCTTGAATAGGGGTGGTCTTAGTTTCTAACATTGTATGTTTTTATTAATGCAGCCTATTTCTTCTCCAATCACTTACTGTCTTGCTATACTTGAGGCATTCAAAAATAATTGCAGAGCTTTGAGAATTTTACCAGCTGATTCCAAGTAAGCTACCATGGGCCTTGTTTTCATTGCAAGAAGTTTTGGTTTCAAATTCCATTTTCCCTCAGGTTTGGCAAACTTGCTGAGATACAAGTAAACTTTTAATTCTGATTTACAGGCTGCATGTGATAGGGGGATTATATGATGTGTGCCTCCTTATTAACCCTTTCCTATAGTGTAGGTGGGCAGTTTTCTCCTGAACAGTTGAAGGGTCCAAATGGTATGACCCTGGTTTTCTCAAACTCTCTAGGAGGAAAATGCCACATGTAAAAACTCTCCAAGCAACTTGAGCTCACCACATTTTGATAGGATGACTTTGAGGGGTCTGAGCAGCTTTTAAGGGTGAAAAGAGTGGCTTGCCTTCCAAAAGCTTCCTGCTCACATTTCCACCTTTTTTTTTTTTTTTGATGCAAAAGGATCCAAAAATGGTAATGCAAAAAAACTGCAGCACAAGGTGCAGTCTTAAAAATGCCGGAGAGTCACCAAGTAAGTGCTCAGGACAGCAGTGTGGCTCGTGGGCTGTGTCTTTCCCAGGGCTGGCTTAGCAAGCGGAATCACAGTCAGCTTAAGTCCTTTGTGTATAAGTGTATACCTGCAGTGAAGGATATCACTCAAAAGTATGTATTTATATTTACTAACATCTCTATCTTGGTCTATTCCCCAAAAATGGCTACAGTACTTAAAGCAGTACTGGCTATCATCATAATCAGACCAAGGGATGGGGTTTAAATTCAAATGAATAATGGATCTGAAATTACTAAAATATACCGTTGGTGGTTTTAATTTTTTGCTGTTTAGTTATGTATGTATAAGACATTTTTTACCTCTATTATTGCAAATATGTAAAAGTTTATGGAAACTTCATATCTTCTGAAATGGTGCAACGCTTACCACCCAAGAGAGAAAACAAAGGCCACAGAAGGGATAATGTAAACTGACCCCGGAAACATAAATCCCAGGACTCTTAATTACACAGTTAAGGATAACTTTGCCCCAGGGAAGTCATTTCATGTCCCAACTACTGCCAAGGGGGTTCTCAGATGAATGTGGCACATATTAACTGGGGGAGTGGATTCTGATGTCAGATTAGTCCAATATGGGAAACAATGCAAGGATTATGTCTGGTGAAAAAGCACCCCCCCCCCCCCCCCCCCCCCCCC